CCGGCGAAAGGGTTTGGGGACCACTAACTGTTCTACCACCTCCTCCCCTTGCTTTACCACTTGATACAGCAAGTTATTGTTAAGAGCCATGTAGGGAAAAGACACCGCTACATCATTTTCAACTGGTTCCCCATCAATCATTTTAATGTTTTCACGGGCTCTATTAAGTGTGGAATCTTTCAGTTGTTCCGTACAAAAATCCTCTTTTCTGACCTCTAGGTCAGGCACCACATTCTGTCCACTCTCACTAGAGCCAGCGATCATCTCTTGTTCTATATCCTCAATGTCTGGGGTTGGATCCAACTCCTCCTGCTCCCCAGCCATTACAGAGAAAGGGAAAAGATCTACGCCTTCCTCGGTCACACCCACAGTTTCCACTTCCACTCGGCAGTCAAAGGGGTCAGGAGTGAGTTCAGGAGTTTCCGGCGTTTCCCCAGCAGGGGGAGCTCGGTCCTCCTGACTCCCCCTCCTTATCCCATAACTTCCAGAAATGGGGAAAATCTCTCCCCACTATGGCTTCATGAAGCAGAGAGGGCACCACCCCCACAGAATGGGTCACAGGGCCCCAGGGAGTACCAATCTCCACCAGAGCAGTCTGGTAATTACGTGTATCACCATGAATAAAAATAACTCCAATAGTGCTAGGGTGTAAGCTTGCAGGGTTTACCAAGTCACTTTTTACTAAGGTCACAACACTACCCGAGTCTAGCAGAGCAGTTACTGGCTTTTCATCAATGGCAATCACACACATTTGTTTTTCCATGCGTTTCTGACATGCTGCAGTACATACCACCTGTGCAAAAAGAGACATGCGTTTTCCTAGATAAGCATTTTCACATTGCATAGGTTCATCATTTAAAGGACAGTTTGCAGCAATATGACCTAACGCATGACAACGATAACAGATTATATGTTCAGTGCTTAGACCTCTAAATGGCTTTGGGGACCTTCCTGACCTATTTGGCCAGTCTCTAGGTCCTAAGCCTACAGTCTCATTATCTGACACAATAGTCTTATCAATTTTTTCTGAGCCTTTGGCCCATGGAACAGTCTTACCGGATCCTCCGGATAGTTTTCCACCCTAGTGACCTTGGGGTACGGCCCAGGTGAATGAAAAAAGTCCTCAGCGGCTGCATATCTCTCCACCAGGTCCACCAGCTCGTTTGCATATTTAGGGTCTCCACGGCCGACCCACTTCCTCAAAGTGGCAGGGAGTGCACGCAAATATTGGTCCATGACCACCCGCTCCACAATCTGAGGGCCTGACAATACCTCTGGCTGGAGCCACTTTTTGGAGAGATGTATCAGATCGAACATCTGAGATCTGGGTGGTTTGTCAGCCCTGTAATGCCACTGATGCACCCGCTGAGCCCGGACTGCAATGGTGACACCCAGGCGTGCAAGGACCTCAGTCTTTAGTTTCTCATAGTCCTGGGCATCCCCTGGTTCCAGGTCAAAATAGGCTTTTTGGGATTCCCCTGTCAAAAATGGTGCAAGCAGTCCTGCCCATTGCTCCTTTTTCCATCCTTCCCGAACAGCAACTCTTTCAAAAGTGGTGAGGTAGGCCTCCACATCATCCGCAGGTGTCATTTTCTGCAACACATAGCTGGCCCGCACCATTTTCTGCTCCCCTGGCAGCAGGTCTGCAGATTCCTTCTTTAATTCTAATAGGTGTTGGACACCTGCTTAAGGAGCTCTCGGTGTTGGGCTTCATGCTTGTTGGGGGCTTCATGTTGTGCCTGTTGGGCTTCCGCAAACTGGCGATTTGTCTCCCGTTGTGCTGCATTGGCCTGCAGCAAGGCTCTTATTATTTCCTCCATCTTCCCACTTGCTCAGGAAGATGCCCGCCAAATCCACCATATGTGGGGGGTTAGCTCAGGTGGGGGATCTCCTTCCCTGGGACAAAGGTAGACCGCACAGCAGGTTTTCGTCAAAATCTGACTGGATGTCAGTTTTATTAAAAAGGTTTGCAAGAAATATCAAAAATAAACAAAACATCAAAATAAACCCTCGCCATCCAGGCACTAACTAAACAGCAGGTGATTCCTCTCTCAGAGGTGAAGGGCTTCTCCCTGTCACCAAAACAAAGTAACAGCAAACCTTTTCTTGTAGGTATAATCCATACACACAGCTCTCTCAGAATACCTCTCTGAGTCCCAGGCCACGAGCGACTCCTTGCTCCAGCCCTGCCCTTTTTATAGCACCTGTTGGTGGACATCAGTGGAGCCCAAACTCTGGTCCGGAACCACCTCTGCCATTGTGGCCCCAAAAACCCGGAGTGGACTCCACCTTACACCTCACAATATGACCTCATGCGAGGTGACACATATCGTCCATCCATCACTTTGCCGTTCATACTGTCACAATATATATATATATATATATATATATATATATATATACACACACACATTATATGATTTTCTGCCCCATTCAGCTGCAATGTGTTCTTTCCAAATAGAATAATTTGTTTTCTAAAGGCACAGTAAAATAATTTTCTTTGATATGTTTCTGAAAAGTTTTGCATTTAGGAGACAGATACCTTCTATCACTCCACAAAATTTTTATTTTTTTTATCCATTTTCTTTGCATCTATTTCTTTTTCCTATTTGCTTGTTACCCATTTACTATGCAATTACCGTAATTTATTATTGCATTTTTAGAGGACATGGAGAAGAAAAAGTTCCATAGTGTAGTTATATATATTCAGATGTTGAGGCAACCTAATTTACAACTGCATGGAGTCACTCTTTTTTTAAATAGATCAGTGGTTTAGAGTCCCTGGCAAGTCACATAATGATCACTGTAAGTCTGCAACCAGTCAGTAACAAATACAAGTAGTTGCAAACCTCTAATGTGAAAAATTAATAAAGCATATCCTTTTATAGTGTGTACATTCCTCAATCCAAAGCACCAAGTGTCATTTTGCTCTGGTGTCTCTTCCCCCTGCTATCTGTCACTCCTAATAGGTTCAGCTGACACAACAGAATCCCAAGTGACAGCCCCACCCCCTTCCAGCACACAAGTGACTGACAGCTACAGCTGTGTTTGTTTCTCTATGAGCCTGTGTACAGGGGAGTGTGTTCCTTCCTCTCACTGTGCTCTAGCTTTGCAGTGTGTGACATCAGATCTCTGTCCCCTGCCTTCTACTGCTAAGAAATAGCCTTTAATCTGTGTACTTTGAACTGATCTGGAGAAGAGATGACTGCACACAAGTATAACATGTAGGAGGATTTGTTTCATCTTTGTGTATCACCTGATGCCAGTCACTTCACTGGGTAATATATAAGGGTTTACAACCACTTTACAGTGGCCATACAATGTTCAAATGTCTTGAAGAACTGGCCAAAATTTGCTAAGTGGGTGGCCCTGACAGCCCCCATCCTTAAACTGAAAAATCAAAACAGCCAAACTCAAAATTATCAGCTAAACAGCGCTGCATCCAATCAGATGCAGTTGCTGATCAAGTATTTTGACAGCCACTAGTGCTGGCTGTCAGAATACAATAGTCCAGCAGGGTAAATTTGTCCATCCATACTGTTAGCCTGGATGGAGGAATCTGTTAGAATTTTTTTGTTCAGCCTGCAGACTGCTGGAAATAAAAATATATCACTATATGGTTAGCTTTAGTCCTCTGTTGTATTTGAAAAAAAGTACTTGCAGCTTTTAAAGATGTTACCAGTAATCTTCAACATGACAATTCTTGTCTGGCAGCCAATAAGAGGACATACAACGCAGGAAAAATGTAAGAACAAAATCATTTTTTTAAAAGAATTTTTAGTTTTCCCCAGACTGATGTTTACTTATTAGCCAATATCGAAAGAAGTGGAATCAAAGCACTGAAGAGGATGTCATACTTTTCAATACATTTTAATTAGCTGTCATACTGCTGCTGCTTTGTGGTTGAAATTAGCACTCCTCAATACTGTCACTCTTGAGGCAGCCTATAAAGTTCTCCTGCAGTGGTACTGGGTCCCGGCTCCGACTGCTTCCTTTAATCCGACTGGCGGAGATAGGTGTTTCCGGAACTGTATTCTATGCGGGGACGTCGTGCACATTTGGTGGTCGTGCCTACGATTGATAGGCTTCTGGTCTAGGGTTTTCGGTTTGCGGCAAACGCTATTTCATATTACGGTCCGTAGGGATGCAAGGGTGGCCCTCCTCCATTGCCCAATTTTGGGTCTGTCTAGGTCTCAGCAGCAATTGGCATCCTACCTATTCATTTCGGCCAAACGTGCTATAGCTCAAGCTTGGAGAACCCCTTAGGTTGTCTTCCAGGGGGTGAAGACCTGGATGAATGCTATGCTGATCAATGAACAGATGTCTAGCATTCTTCAAGATTCTCATCCAAGATTCCTTAAGGTTTGGGAACCTTGGATACGTTATTCCCTGCCATCCCTGCCTCCTACTAGTTATGGCCTCTTATAGTCGCTGCCTGTGCTAGCCCTGGATCCGTGACTCTTCTAGTCTTCCTTTCTTCCATGTTTTCTCTCTGAATTTTTCTTTCTTCCTTATTTCTTTCTATGTTTTTATATTTTCTTTTTCCTTTTTTTCTATCAGTTTGGGGTTTTTTTTTTTTTTCCTTTTCCGTATGTTCTGAGTTGATACTTCTCGGTAGGGGTTTTTCCTTTTTGTTTTTTTTTTTCTGGAAATATGATGGATTGTTGCTGCTACTATTTGGTTCGGCTTTTTGCCGTCCCTCCTTGATGTCATTGGATGTTCCATTATTTAGCCAATATACCCTGCCGACTTGTATCTGCTTATGTATGTTATTGTTCTGCTCTGCCCCTGCGTGGGCGTATCATGAGCTTGTTGTATTATAAAAACAAAACTTCTTTAATAAAAATATTGAAATAGAAATTAGCACTCCTGACATTCAATACCCAAACATATGCTATTTTAAAATATGAAAGTATAAAATATATTTCAAATTTATGTCATAATATATTTTATAATCAATGTGGTTTACCTGGTACATTGTATTTTTTTCTTTCTTGCAGTTATTCTTCCCCACATTGCCAGTGCCACTGTGGAAACCCGGAATGCCATGGCTGCACTTGCAGCAAATAATCTTTTATCAGGATTGAAAGGAGACCCAATGCCCAAAGAAGTGCCATTGAGCTAGTATAGACCTGAACATTACATCTACTAACCACTATATTAACCAGAGAAATTCTGTTTATAATTAACACCAGGTTGATTGTAGCCTAAAACTGACACAAACTGAATGCTGCTCACACGTTTTCTATAGACGAAGAGGAAAATATTTAGTCATTCTTAAATCCTTCCCTCTATGTGGGTTATACTGCTACACAGCATAACTGTGCAAAATGTTTTCTTACTTACCTAATGTAGTTCTAAAAAATTGTTGTTCACTCCGCTAGGTTATAACATTGGAGATTTCTATATATACAATATATACACTGCTTGAAAAAAAATAAAGGAATTTAAGTAATTGGATGAAGTGGGGATCGAGTGGAGATCATTGTTCCACCTTGTCCAATCAAATATATATAAAAATATAAGGCAATTGGTGAATGGCAGCAGTACCGAGTGAGCAATCCCTGTGGTCACTATGCAGAAGGGAAGCTGCTCCGCACAGGACCCAAAAGATTGTGGCAATCGCTACAGTAGCGGTGATCACTACAGTGATTGTCACCTTCCACATGCATATTTAGATTGTGCCAAACAAAAATCATTCCTAGACTTCAGCTTTAACTCAGCCCATGACTATTTAGGCCTGGTTCACATCTCTGCAGAAAAAACAAAAATCCCCTGCGCTCAAGAGTGGTGTTCTGGTGATAGATGGATGTCAGGTCCTTAGTTATTTAAATGCTGGCACAGGCTTTGCTGTCCTCTAACCCTTGGTTCACATATGTGCATTTCTGCGGGCTGCGTTTTGCACGGGCACAAGAGCCCATTCATTTGAATTAACTCCCGTGCCCTGGGACATGCAGAGAAGAAGTCCCTGCACTTCTTTGGAAAACGCAGCTCACAGGGGAATCAAAGTTCCCAGTGCGGATGTGATTTCCAGTGCGGGCTGCGTGCGGGTCCACATTCTGGTGCGGCTGCACGGATTTTTGTGCAGATCCACAGTGGCATCACCCGCACATATATGAACCTAGCCTAAGGGTTGGGAAAAAACCCAGAAGAAACACTGTAAAACAAGGAAGAGAGGGCACACCAGCCTAGTGCACTACCTGGCTGGTAGCTTTATTAATTCAAAAATAGATGTATACCAGGTCGCTTTGGACTTTGATATACTTTTGTTGCTGAAGTTGTTTGGGAGTATACATCTATTTTGAATCAATAAAGATACCTTCCAGGTAGTGCACAAGTTTGGTGCGCCTCTTTTCCTTGTTTCACATCTACGCAGGTTGCAGTTGATGCGTGTTCCGAGTGCATTTTGATGTGTTTTGTGTCTTTGGGAGGTATCTGTTCTCGTGAGGGGGAAATCGGCAAAAACACAGCGGAACGCATCATAAAACCAACCACTGCGTTTTTAGGCATTTCATCTGCATTTCCATTGAAGTCTATGGAACCAAAAAATCTGCTGCGGAAAAATGTCCCTGACCCTTACCAAAAACAGCACCGGTGGAAAACGCACAGATGTGAACATAGCCCATAGGAAACCATGTTAAATGGACTGTAGTGTGTTTCTGCAAAACTGAAAATGCATTGAAAATCGCATAGGTGTGAACCAGGCCTTACACTTACTGCCTCACTTGCTGCCTATTACTAACTAATGTATAACTATACAATAATATAATAATATATAACTATAATAATATATAACTAAAATACTAACTAATACTAACTATAAAAATTAACCCCTAATATTTCATCTGCACCCTAAAAATCAACCTAAAACTTAACTAGCTTAACGTGTCTCAACACTTGCTGCCTAATACTAATACTAACTAATATATAACTATATATAATAATAATAATAATAATAATACATATTAATACATAGCTATAATAATAACTATAAACATGAACCCCTAATATTTCATCTGAACCCTAAAAATCAACCTAAAACTTAACTCTTTAAACCCCAAATGAAAACTAAACTCTAAATTTAACCCAAACATAACCCCATCAATAAAGTATCGGGGCTGAATCCCCCCAACAAGAAAACCCACCTGCTCTGGAAAGTAGTATGAGCCACACATCTTTTAGCATTTCAGTCCACTTTGGATAGGCTTAGCAACAGTAAGACATTTCTGTCAATGTCCTCATTACGTGAAAAAATCTACATTTTTGACAGCTATGATTTGGAAGTCTTTCCTGTGCATATACTGTATAAAGTTGCTGCTTTTCAATATATTACATGTTATTCCCTGCAATAAAATTATGAATTCATCTTAAATATGTTTTTTGTTTTGTTGCTGATGATGCATATATATTTGCTGATAAAATTGTAAAAGGCAAAAAGTATGCACGCAAAGAACTACATTATACTGTATGTGATCCAGTTATCAATTCCTTCATAACTTTGTGAAACATACAACATATTTTGGAATATGTGGGTTATGGTGCTTTGGAAAATGAGGATAGTATTTTATTTGGGCTAACATAAAAAAGAGAGAAGCACCGCCATCTAAGTGCAGCAATATAAGCAAATAATTTATTTCCACAAAACTGGCAATTCACAATAGTAGTAGCCAAATGAGTGCTTGTCAAACTGTGCAACTCCTGGCCAGTCCAACTGCAGGCAGGTCTCCAAAACACTGTCCTCGGCTTTGCTGGTGGTTCCCAGTACTTCCTGATTGCTGTGGATCCTCAGGGCAGGCCAGAGTGATGTCAGCTCTAGGTACAGTAGCAGTAGGCGTTTCACGTGTTTGGAGCATGCATGCTCCTTCATCAGCCCATGGCACATAACCGCACTGTGTACTGTTTTACTAAGGAACGTGCCTGTTTTTGTCTCCCTGCTTTTCATGGAGACCAAAACTGGCACATCTCCACTGTCAGTAGAGAGATCTGTGTTGTTAACAACACAGATCTCTCTCCTTTCACTTGCTCTGATGATCAGAGGGTCCCAGCCATGAATCATTAGTTGGGACCCAGTGATCGGCATGTAAGCGAACCAGTGAGACCACAACTGGGTGGGCGCACACATGCCCCCTACTTGGAAATGGCAAATCACGCATAGATATGTGATTCTGTGCAGCCAGCCCATAATGTAGCAGTATGCCTACAGTGTGCAGTTGGCAATAAGTTAATTTGCTGGGATATCCTATCACTTCCTGTTTGGCTATGGGACAGGAAGTGAAGGGAAATCTCACCAATGGAACACAGAAGGGGAAAAAAATTGGCAGGGGTTATAACCCTCCCTTGTTCTATTCAAAATTAAAAATAAGTAGTTTTACTTTAAAGCAAAGCTCCAGTCAAAATCTAAAAAAATAAAACTCAGCAGCTACAAAACTGTAGCTGCTGACCTTTAAAAAACAAACACTCACCTGTGCCTCGATCCAGCGGTGTCCTCACCACAGCTGGATTCATGGGCCCCACCTCTGTCCCCGGTTCCGGCATCTTAAGTGTGAGCACCCGGCTGTGACAGCTTGCAGCTTCACAGCTGGGTGCCCACTGCGCATGCACAAGTAGCGCTGCCCCTTGTGAATGGTCTTGAAGTCTTCTGGGATCTTTCATGTGTCCCAGAAGACTATGGGGAGGGAGGACAACTTCGCCTAGGCTATCGCAGCCAAAGTGGGAGTGGATACCTGTCCAAAATAGGGTACCCACTCCTCTCCCACACACCCCAAAGGTGCCAATCCTTTACAGGGAGCAAGGGAGCTGGGATACAGATGGCGTAAGAAATCTGACAGCAGTTATAACCCTCATTTGTTCTATTCAAAATGAAAAAAAGTAGTTCTACTCTAAGTCAAAGGTTATATACTACTAAAGTCGCAACAATAAAATCCATCTGTATATGCAGTAAAGCACGCTTGTAAGACTTAATGCAGTAAAGCACGCTTGCACACACTGGCGTTTTAATAAAACTGGTAGCGTTAACTGTGTAAAGTCACGTTAAACCGTGAGTTTTTCAGCGTTTTTGCATTAGCGTTTTTGCATTAGCGTTTAGCTGCGTTTTTCTGCGTTTGCTGTTTTTACACAAAAAATTTAAATTTTTGCTAAAACAAACCCCAAAACTCAGCTTTGCTGCGTTTTTCTGCATTTACCAGTGTTAGAGTGTTTTTACAGCTAAATAACTCACATAGAAATCCACTAGTTCTGTTTTTTTTTTCCAGACAAAAATGCCCCTGCCAAAAAACACTGATTAAAGCCTATGCTTACATGGACACATAGGACAACATGCTGGGGAGTTTACTGGCTTTTGAAAAAAAACGCCAAAAGCCAAAAACAGCAGCTGTAAAAACGTCCACTGTGGAACCTAAGGCGTTAGCCCTGCGCATTGTGTAAAAAGGCTGTTTGATCCTGTCTTCTCTGATCCTCCCCTTCTTCCATAGTCCCCAGTCCATCTGCTGATAGTACAGAGCCCTAGGACACACCTCTGCACATGCTCAGTTTGGTGCATATTGTTAGTTATTTTTTTTCTTGGGCGGGTGTATGTGATCAGCACCAGACCAATCAGCACTGTCCAGACAGGGGGTCAGGGGTCCTGCAATTTCATCATTATTTTTATTTCACAGGGTTTATATAGCTCCAACAGTTTGCACAGCGCCAGGGGCGGACTGACCATTTGGAAACTCGGGCACTGCCTGAGGGCCCGGGGTCAGTAGGGGTCCCCATGAGATGCCCCTGGTACCTTTTTCATAGGCTTTTTTGAGTTTGGTAAAGGACACAGGGGCCCCATGATCCCCTATTGCCCGGGGGCCCATGAATTGTCAGTCTGCCCCTGCACAGCGTTTTACAAAATGAAGGTAGACATTGCAGTTACAATACAATTTGGTATAAGAGGAAACAGAGGGCCCTGCTCGTTAGAGCTTACAGTCTAGGAGATTAGGGGAGAATGAAAACTCCTCCTACAAGCTTTAACAAGTGCTCGGCTGGACACTGATAGAAGCCACAAGACTGCTGATGAGAAAAGGTATTTAGCAGTTTATATTTATTAAAATAATTAAATTTCCATGTTCTTTGTACTGTGGGAGACCAGATAGAGTGAATGCAGGGTCCTGGATTTAGTAACACTTTAACACTGAACTCTAGGAATAAACATAGGACTGCCCTCACACTGCAAGGGTTAAATGCTTGTTTTTTTGGGGAGGGGGGTGCATAGAGCAAGTTTACTCAGTCAATCTTTCATTCCAGGCTGTAAGATCAGTCTCCGCTGCCTATTCTCTCTCACGCTCTGCCATTTGGATGCCCTTGAAGTCATCAAGATCAATGCAGGATCTATAGCCCTTGCATTGGACGTAAGCATGCTGATCCCCTCCCTCTTAGATTGTAAGCTCCAAGGAGCAGGCCTCTTGTATTGAACTGTATTGTTGCTGTATTGTCTTCCGTTATATTGCTGAGCAAACTGTTGGCGCTATATAAATCCTGTATAATAAATCCTGTATAATAATTGACAGTTCACTGCCAGAGTGTAGGGGAGTGTGGTCTGCAAGACCAGGAAAAACTGCTGTTTCCAGTATCCTAGACCTTAAAGAAGAGTATGGGGAGCATTGTTGCTTTCACACAATTCAATGTCATGTCATGTAGGTTTGGGTGGTAATTGGATGTCCAGTCCTATGTGTGCGGCAAAGATATGGGCAGCTGTAGTGTCTTAGCAGTGCCTGTATATGAAGTAACGCTCGGATACACTAGATGGCGCTGCAGACTTCTCTAGAATCTATGAAGCAGCCTTGATCAGTGAGACTCGAGGCAGTTGACCTCCGTGCAGTCACAGTAGCTCCTCCTCCTCCTCCTCCTCTCTCCGGCTTTCTCCTTCCTAGCAGGCAATGAAAGCTATGCAGCAGCTCATGAAGGTGTTCGTGAGTAGGAGGCTCCCCCCGGAAGGGCAGAAACTTTTATCCCAAGCTGAAAAGTGAGTGCCTCTTCGGGGTTGCTTTACAATAAAGGCTTCCTATGTATGTATTTTGTGTTCCCCTCATATACCCAGTCAAGGTAGAACGATATGGAAGGAATCGAATAAAGCTGATCAACTGTGCAACCAATCAAATGCTGTCTTCAGCTAGTTCAGGTAACCTTTCAGAATGAAAGGAAGTTGATTGGTTGCTACGCACAGCTGCTCCATTCTTGGTAAATTTCCCTTTTATGTTTTTAAATCTTTAACCTCTTCCATACCGGGCACTTATACCCCCTTCCTGCCCAGGCCAATTTCCAGTGCTGTCACACTTGAATGACAATTGCGCGGTCATGCAACACTGAACCCAAACTAAAATTTTTATCATTTTCTACACACAACTAGAGCTTTCTTTTGGTGGCATTTAATCACTGCTGGGGTTTTTTTTTTTTTTGCTAAATTAACAAAAAAAGACCGAAAATTTTGAAAAGAAAAAAACTTTGTTATAAAAGTTTGCAGATAAATAATTCTAAATAAATTTAGGCCAAGATGTATTCTGCTACATTTCTTTGGTGAAAATAACCCACATTAGGATGTATTATTAATGCAGGCCATAGACGGTTCGTCTATCAGATGATTTTTCGTTCCGAAAAGCGAACCATCGTTCGTTCTGTAATCCGATGTTGCCACCAATGATTTTGAAAATCGGCCGTTTTTCATGAATTTTCCAGCATGACCGAGAAACGAAATGAGGAACCACGAAAATCGGTCGATGCCATTGCCCCACTAACAGTGCGAAAATCAACAAACCATCTATGGCCTGCATTAGTCTGTAGGAAGGTTATAGAGTTCACAAACTATGGGATATATCTGAATATTGATCAATCCTGGAGTACTGACAGCCAATCTAATTTCTTGAGGTCCAAGAATGTCAGAACAGTACAGATATCCCCCAAATGACCCCTTTTTGCAAACTAGACAGTCCGACGTACTTCATAAGAGGCATGGCGAGTTTTTTTTGAAGTTGTAATTTTTATTGTCTTTTTTTAGGAAATTTAAAAAAAAAAAAATTCACTTTTTTTTTTTTTTTTTTCATACTGTCAGCAGTGCAGTACAGCGTCATCATATAACTGGTGCGGTGGTGATCAGGGACACTGACTGGTGACAGTACGAAAAAAAAAAAATATTTTTTTCTTTTTTTTTTTTTTTTAAGATTTTTCACATTTCACTATGACCAAAGTAGTATAATGTTACCATAGTAACATACTATTTTGGGGAAGTGATCAGTGTGTGTTTTTTTGGTTTTTTTTTTGTTTTTTTTTACACCATTTGATTATACCAAAGAATTTCTTTGCTATAAGCAAGCATTTAACTGAATGAAATCGATTCATTCAGGGTTTTTTTTTGCTGTGATTAGCTGTGATTGACCATGGCTAATCACATGACACAGATGGGCTGTGATTGGCCCAGCCTGTGCATGTGATCGCTGTGACCATTCACAGCTAGACACACTTGTATACAATGGATGGCATGAAAGGAAGCCATCCATTGTATACAACTGTCATGTGACATGATGTGATTGGTCACATGGTACTGGCAACGGGGCCGGTACACAGATCTGTCATTGACCGTGTCCAAGGTACACAACCGGTACAGATCTCACCACAGTGCAGCCCTGCGGGCATGCGCAATGCGAGTTCCGGGAAGGACGCCATATGGCGTCCTCCCGGAGGGATAAAGTGTTCGCCTTGCCGCCATCTGGCCATAGGCCGTGCAGCAACTGCATAATGAACAGTCGAAGTGGGCTTTTGTTGCGTGCCCATTAAAAATGCCACATAAGTCATTGTAAAAATCAAATCATTTTTTTTCTGAACTTCTATAGTACTTCTTTTACTTCCTATTTTCCCTGAGGCACTGGTGACTTAGCCATGATCTTACAGGTTCCCTCTGGCAAGGCCACATCACCAGTGTTGCAGGGAACGCTCTCTGATCTCGCGCATGCACCATACAAGATCTTGGGTGGTCTGTCATTGAAATATAAAAGGGCACATCGGATTTCTAAAGCTGGTCATACACGTATAGATTTTTGTTTGAGAATTTTCTTTTCAAGAATATTAGTTCGATTTTCTAATCGTTAGTGGGGTCAAATTGATGTTTGTTTTCGACAGCAGTGACAGGAAAATTCAAAGGGGCAGGAAGGGAAAACTTTTTTTTTTTTTTTTTTTTTCCCTCGATCAAACTAATTTTTGGCCAGTATATGTGGTTATCGTTTAGAAATTACATTAATTTTAAGCTCAAATGTTAAAAGCAAAAGACAATTTTCGAACGACATTCGTTCATTTACTCGGGTATATTTATCACAAGGCAAACAAGGCATTTGCCTGGGGCGGTGTAAAAAAAAGAAATAAAATTAACCACTTTCCGTCCGCCCTATAGCAGAAATACTGCTACAGGGCGGCACCGGTGCAAAATCACATATATACCAACCGATCAGTGACTGCTGCCCCTCTCTGCCAATCCATCCACTGGCTTCCACTAACCCAATGTATAAAATTAAAAATGCTAACCACAGCTTACAAAGCCATCCACAACACTGCCCCTAGCTACATCGCCAACCTCATTCGCAGATATTGCCCAAATTGCCCACTCTGCTCCTCCCAAGATATGAACTGTACTTGAATCACCTCCACCAGATCATCCCCCGCAGCTATCGCCTTTTGTATCCTTCCTTTAGATTGTAAGCTCCACGAGCAGGGCCCTCCTGTTCCTTCTGTACTGAAATGTAATTGTACTGTCTCCCTTATTGTAAAGTACTGCGCAAACTGTTGGTGTTATATAAATCCTGTATAATAATAATATATATACATAATTTTGCAGTTCCAGGTAGGAGGCGAGCGGTCGCCCTACCCACGCTGCCATTTGCAGCGTTTGCTGTCAATCACTGGGTCCCAGACGGTGATTACTCTCCGGCACCCGGTGATCACCAAGTAATGCCAACGGGGGAGAGACCTGAATGTAAACAATATAGTTCTCTCCTCTGTCAGCTCCTGCACACTGCTTTGTATGGCTCTGCATACAGTGAAGTGCGCACACACACAGCACATGTGAAACAACGCATTTAATCCTTTGATCGCCCCAGATGTTAACCCCTTCCTGCCCAGTGCCATTAGTACAGTGTTGGTGCTTTTTATTAGCACTGATCACTGTATTGGTGTCACTGGGGATGTCAGTGACACCAAGTCAGCTCCCCCTCAGTGTTAGTCCTGCAGTCCCACTGTAAGTCGCTGTCAGGAATGGACTTGCCAATAGTGGTGGGACTCACCTGCCTTGTGGGCTGCAGTACCAGGGCTGGCCAGCGGGTGCTCTCAACAACCAGAGGCTCACTTTGGCAATTAGCCATCACCTGGGGCTGATTGCAGGTGGTGTATTTAAGGGATGGCCAGACCTGCAGTCTGTGCCTTGTTGTACTGTTTGCTTGGCCCTGGTTTCCTGATCCTGTTTCTGCTGTCCTGACGCTGCCTGAACTCTGCCTGTACTGACCTCGGCTAGTCCTGACCACTCTCCCGCCTGCTCCTGGTACTCAGTTTGCCCGTTTGCTACCGACCCCGGCCTGCCTGACTACTCTTGTATCATATGTTTATCTGTTGGAGGTTTGGTTCAGTTTGTTTGCACTGTGTTATGTTTAGTTTTGCACTGCGTTTGTATTGTTAGTCTTAATAAATTATATTATTTACTATATCTGAAGCCTGCGTTTCCCTGTGTCAGTCCACACACTTCTGGTCACACTCGCATCCCTGACAGTCGCCGGTTGCCACCATTACTAGTACAAAAATAAAATTCCAGTATATATCGCCATTTGTAAATGCTATAACTTTCACGTAAACCAATTAATTTACATGAATTGGGATTTTGTTTAGCAAAGACATGTAGCAGAATACATCTTGGCCAAAATGTATACCGAAATTTTTAGTTTTTTTTTTTTTTTTTCTATAGCAAAAAATATAAAAAACTCATAGGCGATCAAATGCCACAGAAAGAACGCTCTATTCCTGGGGAAAAAAGTGTAAATTTAATTTGGGTGCAGAGTTGCATGACCATGCAATTGTCAGTTAAAGTAATGAAGTGCCGTAACGCAAAAATTGGCCTGTACAGGAAGGGAAGTAAATCCTCTGGAGGGCAAGTGGTTAAAAAAAAGGTGAGGGCAATAATTTTGTCACCAGAGCTCCTATGTTGCCTATAGATAAGTTAATGTACCGTAGTTTCTCACTTGTCCACGGGCATGTGCAATTTTACAGCATGACATGTTAGATATCTACACTCACTGGCCACTTTATTAGGTACACTATGCTAGTGCCAAGAAAATGTCCCTCACACCATTACACCACCAACCCCAGCCTGAGCTGTTGATACATAGCAGGATGGATCCATGCTTTCAAGTTGTTGATGGCAAACCTACCATCTGAATCTCGCAGCAACCAGTCTGCCCATTCTCCTCTGACATCAACAAGGCATTTTTGTCCACATAACTGCCCCTCACTGGATATTTTCTCTTTTTCTGACCATTCTCTGTAAACCCTAGAGATGGTTGTGCATGAAAATCCCAGTAGATCAGCAGTTTGTGAAATACTCACACCAGCCCGTCTGGCGCCAACAATGCCAAACTGATGCTCCATTTGAACTTCAGCAAGTCGTCCTCACCACGCCTACATGCTTAAATGCATTGAATTGCTGCTGCCATGTGATTGGCTGATTAGCAATTTGTGTTACCAAACAATTGAACAGGTGTACCTAATAAAGTGGCATGTGAGTGTTTTTTTGGCATAGCTTCTTCTTTTTATATTTTACCAAACAATTGAGTATTCTATTGTGTTAATGTTCACTAAAATGCATTAAAATGTACATTTTCCTGAAAATTTGCGCTTGATAAAGCTGCTGTGCAAATATCATGAGACTAAAAAATTGCAACACCCAGAATTTTATTCTCCAGGGTCACTGCAAAAAATATTTAAAGGCCAAGTTCA